ACAAACTACTAAGACAAAACAAAGATTCAATACCAAAATCTAATGCAAATGAATGAGGTCCAATCATGGACACATGCAAGGAATGGAGAGACTCAAATAAAAGCAAAATAAGCACAAGCAAATAGGTCCTAAAACATGTTGATTGTGGAAGAAAATCAAAACAATCAAACAATGGATCTATGGAACACAAATAAACAAAACAATATAGATTCGAATAGAAAACTCAAGTAAGACATAAGAACACCCAAAAACAACAAGACCACGGACAAACAAATTGAAGACACTTATCTCCTTGAAGACCTTGCTCTTGATACCAAAAATGATGGAGAAGGTGAGAGAAGTGATGGAAGAACTTCTCCTTAGCTTCTCCTAAGCTCGGATCCACTTCAAGGAAACTTGTGTCAGAAATCAAGTACTCTTAGAAGGAAGAACTTCTTCGGATTGAAAGGCCTAAGCCTTGGAAGGAAGTATCCAATCTTAAGCAATCAAGAGATTGCTCACTTCAAAAGGAAGGAACTAGGTAAGTCCTAGGGTTTTGAAGGCACTTTCTCTTTCTCTCTAATTCGGTGACTCTTGAGGAATTGTTGAAGAATGATTCAGAAATTCAATATATTCAAAAGTGAGAGTACAAGGCATGAAATATACATTTATAGGTGGGAAACTAAGCTATAGTGGCGCCAATCCGAGAAAATGTAATTGGCGCCAAGTTTGAATTTCAAATTTGAATTTGAAATTCAAACTTTGGCCAATCATGTGATTAATCCGGATTCCACCTTCATTTTAATGTCATTTGGAAGTTATTTGGATTTGAATTTAGGGTTCACATGGCCGGTCCTCACCATGCAATCCATGTGACTCATATTCAAATTAAATGACTTCTAAATGACATAAAAAATGAATCCTAATGCACCTATTAATGTATACTTCGTATAAACCTAATCTAATGACCTAAATATACTGGTCAAAGAAATACAATGAATAGGAAAAATTACAAGAAGAATAATGAGCCCAATATTGGGTATCAAAAGCCCAAAGCCCATGAAGCCCAATTACAAGCCCAAAGTTCACAAACCCTAATCTATGGTCAAAATACAAGACCAAAAACAAAGTAACTTCCTACTCTATGAATTTGCAATAAATCATAAAAAGAATGGACATATCAAGATAGGCCCATGTGAAGTTGGTCTTGGGCCTTTCAAGCTCATGAGGCCCATTGGGCCTTGACTGGCCCAATCCTCCATGTCTAGCCCACTCCTCTTGGATCTTGTAGTGTGTCACCTCTTGCATTCCAAAGTATGATTCCATCACAACTCTCTTATGGTTTCATTGTTTTTTTTATTTTCTATTTCTTTTTTTCTAATATAGTCCCCAAGTTCTCTAAGCTCATCTTTAGTACTCCTATGACTTCTAGGAGCATGATGACCATGCACACTACTTTCATGAGAATGATCACTCATTTTTTCAAGAGAAAGGTTTTCATAAATCTTAAGGAATTTTGTAAATTGAGTGATAAAAATTTTCACAAAAGGTTTTCTCTTTTGGGTGCAATACTAAGTACTTGGAGGTCTAAGTATACAAGTTGCACTATCAAGGGAGGTGAGCTACAAGGAGCCACTTAATAACCAAGCCTTTTCAAGTGGAAATTACTAAACCCCCTTATACTTTTCTCACAAAACAACTTTTTCACAAAAGCAAGTCAAGTAGTTGTGTGTGTGCACGAAACCCCTATTAGGCAAAGAAAGCCTTCTAAACGAGCTTAGAATTAAAACAAGTTAAAGGAAAGCAAGTAAAGCATACACTAGTCATATGGTCCTAGGGTGGAAGTCCAAGTGACACTTAGAATCCCTAGGAACACTTCCACAAGTACTAAACGGTTTATGAAAGCAAGTAAACTAGGCATCTCCTAGTGGAAGCCCAAATGACACTTGAAGCCTTTTGGGGACCCTTCCACAAGTACTAAACGTATCTAGGAATCTTTATTTACAACTATTTAGGAAGTGGTGGGACTTAATCAATGAGTTTTCCCAAACAACCACTCCTAAATGTAAGTTTGTTTTCAACAAAAGAAAGTTAAAAGTTAACCCAAGGGTAGGGTTAAGGAATTACAACAAGAAAATGATACAAATCAAAAGAAATTGAAGAGTCTCTTCAAAGGAACTTGGTGACCGAGTTTGGAACAGATTTTTGTAACAAGTTTAGTGACCAATTTGAAGGAAGGTAGGGATCTCCACAAATTTGTCACAATTCTCCAAATTCGTCTCTAATTTCCTTCCAAAATCCGTCTCCAATTTATGACCTAAAACTAAGAACAAGTCTTGGCTGCAAAAAGAAACAAACAAGTGACCCTTTCCAAGGTGTTTCACTCAAGTAATTTGTACCTCAATCTTCTTCAAGTGTTGACCTCTTTGAGATTAACCCAATATGCCTCAATTAGTTCTTCCTTCCAAGTGTAATGGCTTGAAAAAGAGTTATATCCCACCAAGGCTTAACAATCAACAAGAGAGAGTAGAGTCCAAGAAATTAAAACTTAAAATGAACAATTAGAATAGGCTAAACTCTCATAGGAATTAATGTGACAAAACAAAGAAAGCCAAGAAGACACAAAGCAACAATTAAAGGTTTATTTCAAAGCTAGCACACAAAGGAATAACCCTAGGAATGGATCTAGAATGGATTATAATATCAAAACAAAAATTGTGCTAATATTTTGAGTATTTGAAAGTCTTTTTCCAACCGCTGGACAGCAAGAAAACCTCAAGAAAATTCACACAAAAATTCAAGGCCTAGTGCTACAAGTAGTGTTTTGTTTTCACTTTTCTTTTTCTAGGTTTTTTTTTCTTTTGTTTTATTTTCTTTTTCTTGTATTTTTGTCTCTTTCTTTTCTTTGAATACAGAGTATAAGCACTTTAAACAGAGGCCAAACAATTAATAAAGAGGTTTCCAAGTGGTGGAGAAAAGAGAAGTAAGAAGAGTAAGAAGTGTAAGTGTACTAGTCAAAATTTTCAACCACAAAATGTTACTAGTTTTGGTACTAGTTTGTTCTTATCTTTTGTACACTTTGATTTTCGTTTTTAATACACTTCTAACTCTGTTTTCTTTTTTCAAAACAAGCACAAGACACACAAGGAATTTCTGGCCACAAATTTCTAAGAAACTAATAGCAATTGAAGTTCACAAAAATTGACTCTAGAACATGTTAGGTCTAATAACATGCATTGGAATCATTTTATGAGCACTCTAAGATTTATTAATGTTCAACCAGCAATGACACCATACAAGAACAGAGATTAATGCATATAGATTCAAAAATAAAAAGGCAAAACAAGGATTTAATGACAAGCAAAACAACTACACATGACTCTAAGACAAAACTAGAAGATTAAGAAATGAAAAATATGCTTGTATTCTTGTTTCTTTTTAGGAGTTTCTTTTTAGACCGAATATAATAGGAGTCCAATGGAAGATAAAAGAAATCCTAAAACATTTAAACATACATACAAAGAATACCTAAGGCGCACACAAAGATTGATTCACAAGAATTTAGAACATGAATCAAAAACAAGCAAGACAAAGTGAGTGTGTTCTATAGATTTATTAATGTGACATAAGAACCACTCAAGGCACACAAACTCAAGACAATAAAAGGAAACACATATAGGAACACATTAGACACAACATAGCATGTTTTTGACCAAACAAATTGGAAGAACAAAGCTCAAGAACGAATTTACCAAGGAGACCTAGCTCTTGATACCAAATGATGGAAACTTGTTGAGAAACCGGATTGATGTTGATTCCTCTTCAAGCTCCTCCGTAGACCTTTGGCTCCTTGATTCTTCTTAAGCTTCTCCAAGGTTTCCAATGGAGGAAGAAACCTTGGATTCTCCACAGATTGGTGAGGAGACACTCTCAAGAGACGTCACTCCTTGGAGAAGAGATAAGTCTCTTCAATTCTCACCACACTCTTCTATGGAAGGGATAAGAGAATTGGATGAATATCAAAGAGGTTAAAGACTTTTGGAAGAGAGAATTTTCGTGCAAATTCTGATCTCACTCAAAAATATCATCAAAAGTGATTACAAAAGTAAGAAAAAGGTTTATATAGGGTGGGGGAAACTTATGGTGCAAGCTAGACTAACTATGGTTCAAGAGAACCATGGTTCAAGGGAACCATGGTTAGCTTGGCTTGACCATCCTAGATGTTTTAGGAGGCTTGTGGAGCAAGCTTATGACTTAGAAGCTTGGGAAGCAAGCTAAGTTATAAGCTTGTAGCACAAGCTTCCCAAGTGTACAAGTCAACTAAGCAATTCGGTCAAAGTAAGACAAGCTAGGCCGCCTACTTGTTTTTCCATATTTAATCCAATCCAAAAACTTGGAGTTGGTTTAGTTAGGTTCACCATATGATGGTGAGACATAGATAAATCAATTCCTTGGAAAATATGGAGCAAAACAAGCCCAATATGTAAAATTTGGCCTAGGCCCAATTCTGACCCAATTACTAGTTGCACCTACACACCTTGCTATTTGTCACCCCACTTCTACTACTGAAAAATACAAAAATGAATGACCCTTAATACAAGGTCAAATGGAGCAAAAGTCTCCAAGTAACATACCCTAATTTTCTTAAAGGATAACCTAAAATAAAAGAAAGAAAGTGTCTCACAAATACAAAGGCAAAATACACCTATACAAGTATCTACTATATACAAGGTACAAGAAATCAAACTATACAATGTATGTACAATAGAGACTATGAGACTAAAAAGAGGAATCATACTCAATACTCATATTGAGCATAGGTCTAAGAAACACCTCCTCTGTAAAACCCTCCTTTAGCCTCCTAACCATGGACCTAGTTAAAGGCCCAATGGTCTTCATGTGTGAGTCTCCTTGGATCAACCTTCACCCTTCTTGGTCTTACCTCTTCTAAAGGGATCCTTGGGGATTAGATTTCTATCAAATGACTTCTGTCTTCTCTTGAATTTCAGACTAGTCGCTCTCTAGTCGACGCTCTCTAGCCGCTCTACAACATTCGCCTTCTCTACCAAGGCTGGAAACTTTGTGATGGCCATAGGCACCACCACTCTCCTCAAATCATACTTCAATCGTTCAGCAAACTTCCTACACTTCCAAGCCTCAAAGATGGCTTGGGTGTAGAAGCGTGCCAAATGCTTGAATCTCATGGCGTACTCAGTCACTAACATCTCACCCTGCTGCAATCTCATAAACTCTACCTCCCGAGCATGCCTGACACTTTCTAGGAAGTACTTCTCGAGGAAAACCCTATTGAAGCACACCCAGCCCACAACTACTCCACGGTCAATCAACATCTGACTAGTACCCCTCCACCAATGCTCTACCTCCCCTGTCAACACATACACTACATACGCGAGCTTCCGCTCTTCTGAACAACCCAAAACTGAGAATATCTTCTCCAACTCGCAAATCCAGTGGTCAGCCACCTCCAGATCTGCATCACTCCTGAATTGAGGAGGACTACACTTCCTGAACTCAACTAGATCCCTGCTCATATGAGACTTAGTAGGACCTGCTACAACTCTCTCTGCATCCGCCCTAGCAAAATGTGCAGTCTACTGTTGCATCTCCATGGCCATCATCTCCATGGCCCTAGCTATGTGAAATTTTTTGGTTCCTAGTGTCAGAGTTACCACCTTGGGTAACAGTTTTGTGCTTGACCGGCACTAGGAGATAGTAGTTTTGGATAATTTTATAAATACCTAATATTTAAAAACTTAATTATTCTTATTTTCCATGTTTTTTTATTTATAACTTATCCAATTTTATTATTTATCTTAGTTCACTGGTTTTAGTGTGATTCCACTAAGTGTAGGGACCACGGCGGGTCGTTACACTTTTATGGTATCAGAGCTGGTCGAGTCCTTTGGATACTCTATGGGGAGTGATCCTTCTAGGTTTCTGTTGTATCATATCTCTGATATGTGTTAGTCTTTGGTGATTTGTGGAGGTATTATTTTACTAAAAGGATGTTTGAATTCTTGTAGTATGGTGAGACCCTAGTATGATCAGATAGCCAGGGCCATGGAGATGATGGCCATGGCGATGCAGCAACAGACTGCACATTTTGCTAGGGCAGATGCGGAGAGAGCTGTAGTAGGACCTACTGGGTCTCATGTGAGCCGGGATCTGGCTGAGTTCAGGAAGTGTAGTCCTCCTCAGTTCAGGGGTGATGCATATCTGGAGGTGGCTGACCACTGGATTTGTAAGTTGGAGAAGATATTCTCAGTTTTGGGTTGTTCAGAGGAGCGGAAGCTAGCGTATGTAGTGTATATGTTGACAGGGAGGTAGAGCATTCGTGGAGGGGTACTAGTCAGATGCTGATTGACCGTGGAGTGGTTGTGGACTAGGTGTGCTTCAAGAGGGTTTTCCTCAAGAAGTGCTTCCCAAAAAGTGTCAGGCATGCTCGAGAGGTAGAGTTTATGAGATTATAGCAGGGTGAGATGTTAGTGACCAAGTACGCCATGAGATTCAAGCATTTGGCACGCTTCTACACCCAAGCCATCTCTGAGGCTTGGAAGTGTAGGAAGTTTGCTGAAGGTTTGAAGTATGATTTGAGGAGAGTGGTGGTGCCTATGGCCATCACGGAGTTTCCAGCCTTGGTAGAGAAGGCGAACGTTGTAGAGCGGCTAGAGAGCGTCGATGATAGACTATGGCCAAGGCCAAGGAATCCAAGAGGTGATATCATAAAAGAACCAAGAGGAATGGGATGATCTTCAAGACCTTTTCATATGTTTTGTACATAGTTTCTTTTGTATAGGTTATTTTTGCCTTTGTATTTGTAAGGCACTTTATTTCCCTTTTTAGTAGCTATTGTATATTGATTCTAGGGTAGGTTACTTGGACACTTTGATTCCATTTAACCTAACCTAGAAATACATTCTTTTCTTAGTTTTCTAGTAGGAGTGGCATTAGCAAATTAGAGAGTGTCCTTAGTAAGCTAGAGAGTGCTCCTAGCAATTTAGCCAAAGGTGGTCCTAGGCTAAATTTTTCATATTGGACTCATTTTACTCCTAATTTTTCATAGATTTGATTTAGCTAGGTTCCATTCCCATTGAATGAACCTAACTAAACCAAATTAACCATTTTCAAATCAAAAGGAGTAAATTAATTCCAAGAAGCCGCCCACCTTAGAAGTGTGTTCACACTTGTGTTCACACTTGTAATTTTCACTAACCTTAGATACTTGCCCCTGAGAAATGAAAAACTCGAGCTCCATCATGTACGATTTACATCATCAACCCCTTTTCCGCCCCCAAAACAATAAGTTCTAGTGGAACAGAACAAATGATGTCGAGCCAAGAGCATATGGATTTCTATATACTAGAAAAAAAAAATGGCGGATGTAAGAATCCACAGCTAATCTAATCAAGTCTTTCAAGTCGCACGTTGCTTTTTACCACATCGTTTCAAACGAAGTTTTACCATAACATTCCTTTAGCTTGGATCCAGTATGTAATTGATTCAATTATATGGAATCGTGAATAGTCATTGATTCAATCGATACATAATAATCGATCCTTTTTACGTCTCGGTTTTTCTTCTATAATAACGAAAACCTTTTTTTTTAATCAAGACGTAAAAAAATGAAAATTAACTCAATATTGTATCAATAAATTTTCGACTCTATTTTTGTAATTTGTAAAGTAGAAAAATTGGGAATTTATTGAAAAAAAAAAAATTATATCTATTATATCTATAGTTATATAGATATATAGTTATCCACAATATATAGTTATCTACAATCATTACATTTAAAAGAAAGGAAAAAACTCGACTTGTTTTTCAATTTACATTTTAGACAGCAAGTCGATTTAAATTAGAGACGAATAATTCAAAAAAAAGGGGGGCGGAGGATAATATTTATCCTGATATAAAATTTGTATTCAAATATGATATACATCATGAATGGATATCATCTGGGACGGAAGGATTCGAACCTCCGAATAGCGGGACCAAAACCCGTTGCCTTACCGCTTGGCCACGCCCCATTTTCGATTTGACACTAATAAACACTATTATTGATATTGGTTTTTCGTCAATTCCAGTTCAAAAATTTCTATCGAAAAATTTGTTGTTAGGATTTTTATATGCGTATATCTATCTATATATATAGTATAAAACTCAATTTATTGATCATTACATAAAATTCAATTAAGATATTGTATAGAAGTATGATTTCTTCTATTTTTGATTTAAGAATCAAAAGATTTTGAACTGGATAAGTTCAAATCAAAGAAGGATTTTGGAAGGTCTTATCTTATTTGATTCTTTTTTTTTTTTAGTTTTATTCATAAATGAATATTAATTTATTGTATTTTTTATTTATTGTATTTTTATTAATATATATATAATAAAAAAAAAATACAATAAAAATGAAAATTCTAATACAAAAAAAGTAAATTTTATTTTCTTAAAGAACAAAATGTTTGTTATGCTTAATATCTTTAGTTTGGTCTGTATTTGTATTCACTCCGTACTTTATTCAAGTAGTTTTTTCTCGGCGAAATTGCCCGAAGCCTACGCTTTCTTGAATCCAATTGTAGATATTATGCCAATAATACCTCTACTTTTTTTTCTCTTAGCTTTTGTTTGGCAAGCTGCTGTAAGTTTTCGATGAGATCTTTAATTTGAGTAATGTCTTACAAAAAATTAAGAATTTCTTAGAAAACTAAAATTCGAACATTTTCTAAATTTATAAGATCAGATAAGTCTTACAGTGTCAATTCTCAATTTCAATATTCAAATTTTTTGGTATATACAAAAAAAATACGGACCATCTCATCATCTACATTTTTTAATTGAGAAATCCGAATCCTATTATTCGATTGGAACCCACCATTAATATCATACCTAGATTGCAGATATGAAAGAGTATTTTTGATAATAGGAATTATTGAGAAATAATAATCAAGGCTCGACTCTTACTACAAATCCAATCCATTTCCGAAACGCATATATACTCGCATATATACTTATATATAAGTATATATATATCCTCAGAATCACTTCATTTTTTAGAAACTTAGTATTTATTAAAAGAAACAAAATGTGTAATATAAGAGAATCTATTCTCTTTCTTTGTCGTTTTTTAATTATCTTGGAGATTTTATAATGCTTACTCTAAAACTATTTGTTTACACGGTAGTGATATTCTTCGTTTCTCTTTTCATCTTCGGATTCTTATCTAACGATCCAGGACGTAACCCAGGACGTGAAGAATAAAAAAAAAAAAATGGATTCTGTGTTTTTTTTGCTTGTGCTCGATTTTTAAATATTTTAAGAATTTTATCTACTTTACATCTTTATCTTTAACTAGTAAATAGGTGTAGAAGCGTGCCAAATGCTTGAATCTCATGGCGTACTTGGTCACTAACATCTCACCCTGCTATAATCTCATAAACTCTACCTCTCGAGCATGCCTGACACTTTTTGGGAAGCACTTCTTGAGGAAAACCCTCTTGAAGCACACCTAGTCCACAACCACTCCACGGTCAATCAGCATCTGACTAGTACCCCTCCACGAATGCTCTACCTCCCTGTCAACATATACACTACATACGCTAGCTTCCGCTCCTCTGAACAACCCAAAACTGAGAATATCTTCTCCAACTTACAAATCCAGTGGTCAGCCACCTCCAGATATGCATCACCCCTGAACTGAGGAGGACTACACTTCCTGAACTCAGCCAGATCCCGGCTCACATGAGACCCAGTAGGTCCTACTACAGCTCTCTCCGCATCTGCCCTAGCAAAATGTGCAGTCTGTTGCTGCATCGCCATGGCCATCATCTCCATGGCCCTGGCTATCTGATCATACTAGGGTCTCACCATACTACAAGAATTCAAACATCCTTTTAGTAAAATAATACCTCCACAAATCACCAAAGACTAACACATATCAGAGATATGATACAACAGAAACCTAGAAGGATCACTCCCCATAGAGTATCCAAAGGACTCGACCAGCTCTGATACCATAAAAGTGTAACGACCCGCCGTGGTCCCTACACTTAGTGGAATCACACTAAAACCAGTGAACTAAGATAAATAATAAAATTGGATAAGTTATAAATAAAAAAACATGGAAAATAAGAATAATTAAGTTTTTAAATATTAGGTATTTATAAAATTATCCAAAACTACTATCTCCTAGTGCCGGTCAAGCACAAAACTGTTACCCAAGGTGGTAACTCTGACACTAGGAACCAAAAAATTTCACTTCTAGCAACGGACTCAGCCAACAGCTCCAACCTAGCCCTGATCTGCTCCCATACACAGTATGATCATAGCAGTCCATCCACATGGAAGGGTAAGCTAGAGTTCAATAATCAACCATACAAGTATAGGGAAAACACTATACTACTCATTCCTTCAATCAACATCACAAAAGACCATACAGTTCAACATAAAAACACAACTCATTCATACAACTTAGAAGCAACTTTAATACAACAACAACAATAATATACAACTTAATATTTAATGTGTCGTC